AGAATGGCATTGAATAAATCCAAAAGCTCTGCTTGTACTGCATGGTGATCAAGATTCTAATAATTACAAACAATTGGGAACACTAAGAATAGTAGTTGACTTTTCTATTCCACTCACTACCAATATTAGTTCCTTGCTTGTTAGCTTGCTGACACTTCTTTGTGCATTACCCTAACCATCATGCTACTATGGTAGTTATACTCCCACTACTATTACAGGGAACCTACTGCTGCTACTACCACTACTACTACTACTACTACTACTACTAATCATACTAGTACTACTAGAATCTTCTTTTCTGCTCTCTTTCAAAAACATACAGCAGCAGCAAAAATGATATGACAACAACAATGACATGACAACAACCATGACATGACACCAATGATATGGCAACAATGATATGACATCAATGATATGATAACAATGATATGATAACAATGGCGTCACAATGATATGACAATGATTGCTTGCTGGGAAAATAAATTCAAATTGGGAATAGTAATTAGTATGGTGGAAAATAAATAATATGGTTACCTAGTACTTTGTTTAAACTTTTTCCATTGCCACTCCTGCATCCACTTTTTGTATTGTTTTGCTCACATGAATTATCCATTACAAGAAAGGATTGAGGTTCATGACAATGAAATCTTCTCTGTTCATTTCTCATCATTTCCTGCCTAAAAAACTCCAACAAGAAAAATCAAAACAGGCCCACCCATAAATATTTCAAACCATCACAATAATATGTGTTCCATAACAATTGATATGGTCTCAAAGTTATGAACTTTTGCTTGTATATCATTAGTACTAGTAGTACTACTACCAGGCAACAATCAACCCAAAGTGGAAAAGAACTCACAAAGAAACCAAGAACATTGTTGTTAACTTCTGGTAATGTGGCCACAGCACAAACTTGGAAAATCAACCCAAGGAAACCATCCAGATCCTAAACATTACACATACCTCTTTCTTACCTCAGGGGGACTTGCTAGTACTAGTACTACAAGGAATCTTGAGAAACTCACTGGGAAATCAAGGAAGTGCAGGCCAAACTTTCCCCTTGCTGGAACTGCTTATTTTACCCTAACATCCCATGTGTTGCCAAATTTGGTACATTGGATTTCAGGCCAGCCAGTCATTATACTTCATCTAAAGGAGGTGCAACAAAACCAAGGTCCTTTGCATGGTGCTACAAGAAGGAAAGTTTTGGGTCATGACACTACTACTAGTAGTTCTGTGGAATGACTACTAGTAGTAACACTTTTACAATTGTTGTTCCTTTTGATCAAATAAGAACAATCATTGAGCTGAAAGAACTACATGAGTAAGGCCAGAATGTTACAGAAAAAGCACAGACTGTGTCTAGTAGTAGGAGACAGCAGAGTAGTAGTACATACAGTATGTATCTATGAATGTACTATTTATACCATGTGGTACTGTACTCAAGTACGATATATACTGGGCAGTACTACCACTACTACTACAGCTATGGTCCCTTCTTCAATGAAATAGTACTGTAATTGAACTACCACTTGTGTTCAATTGCATTATTCTCAACAATATTAAACAGAACATATTTAATGGTACTAGTAATGATCTTAATATCTGACTTTGGCATTAATAGTAGTAGTTGCTAATAATGTCCTTTTGGTCCTGGGCACCAGATACTAGTATTTATGCTGTTAGAGTAGTGTATTTGCATTTTAAAAAATATCATAGATAGTGTCGTTTGTAGCAAGTTATAGTCCTCTTTATTGGTGCCAATGGGGATATGTGATGCTAAATTGAATGATCTAACTCCCATTTTTGTCTAAGTTATGGTGGTCATAGTGTTTTTGGTTCCTGGCCAATTACTAGTATTTGCATGATTAGGATATCATTTTTTGCAAAATATCACAGATGAGCTTCATAGTACTACTAGCAAGATACAGTCTTGTCTATTGGTGCCATAGGGGATATGATGTGAAGCTAAAATAAAGGTGGAATTTTTTTTGGCAATGGCAAGGCCCTAATATTGATTTTGGACCCTTGCCAGCAAATACGACTAGTATTTTGTCTATGTGGGGTTCATTATTCCCAAAATATCATTAATCAGTACAATGTAAGGATACAGGCCTTGGTATTGGTGCCAAGGGGGGGATGTGAAGCTAAATGGAGTCATGTAACACTCCATCTCAAGCAAGTTATGGTGTTCACAATATGACTGGTTTTTTAGCAAATGCAGGTGTTGTCCCAGTGAGGAGTCTCTTATTCCATGACTAAAGGAGATGTCTCAAAAGAAGATTAATATCAATATGAATAGCAATACAAATAGCAATACCACTACTGCTCATACTGATACTGAATAGCAATACAAATAGCAATATGAATAGCGATATAAATAGCAATATAGCAATAAAAATAGCAATACTCCTGATACTGATACTGAATAGCAATACAATTAGCAATACAAATAGTAGCAATACTATTTCTATTTTCCACATAGTTGTACTATTACAGATACTACTACTTTTTGGTACAACAAACAAATGACTTAACTTATCATGCAAACTATAGACTTTTTAACATGCAAACTATTTATTATTTACTTTTTGGTTCTGCATTAATACGATGAATGATCTCACCTAGGATTCCGCATCCTCTGGATGGATATCATATTTGTCACTATCATAGTTGTCTTTTCCCCTTTTGTGTGCGCCCACATGTGTATTTGGACTAGGCCTTGGACCATCTCTATTTCCAATACCATCCACAGCTATGCCACCATGCAAGCACTGCTCAGTAAGCATAGATCTGAGAACATTGTTGATAGTATCTTTTGCAATTGTCTCTGCCTTTGGCACAACGGTCCAAACCTGTTTATACATACTTCCTGCTGCTTCGGGTGTTGGAAGTGAAAATTTCTATGCATCATCATCAGATTTTGACGTGAGTGCAACATGATAATCAACTGCACTTTTGAGGTGAGAAAATAGACTGATGTCCAATGGGCATGCCTCTGGATGGTTACTAGCAGAACAATCTTTATACTTGTTGAGTTCATTCCCCAAACCCCCACTCTCAGCACCCATGAGGCCCGCCAGTTTGGGTAATATCCACCTGGAGTAATATCCCTTTTCCTTCATATATTCCACTGAGTCAGCACATGTCATCAAGATGAATGCATCATGATAAACAAAACTATCAGGACCTAACTTGGAAGAGGCTTCCTCAAGTATGCAGTAAATCAAGTCAGTGATGCAGATTTTGCCAACCATCACAGTTTTGTCAACTTCTTCTTCTTTCCAATTATTCCTGTAGCAACTTTCATAAGGATTTTCTGCATCCTCCCTGTTATGACGATCAACAAATATTTTTGGTGCGCCGCCAGGGAGAGTCAAAACTGCATCTCTAACAAAAGATTCCAAATGGTTATGAGACAACCCAGGAATCTCATTTGCTAGCTTCTTCACTGCCTGTGATGAAGAGGCAAGAAGTAACTTGAGGTCTTTCACGAACAAAATGTTCTTTGTTTGTAGGAGCTTTTGAAACATCTTTGCCGCAGCTCCAGAAAAAACTGTGATGGGTTCGTTATCATAAATTGCACCCACAGGTCTAGTAGTACTAGTAGGTGCTGTCTGTAGTAGGATATCAGATTGTGGGTATGATTCATATATATGACAAATACATATGTATCATACCTATGATCTGAAGCAAGAATCCAAGTGGTGCTCTGAGTTGCTTCAAGAACCACCAAAACAAAAACATCATAAAGAATCATGTTAGGAAATAGAGTGTCTGCAGATGAAAATACAAAAAGTGGTGATACTTACTTGTTCTTTGATTTTTAACCCAAGCAGCGGAGAATTCTCCTCCTGATTCTTTTCCCATGAGGAGGTACCACCAGTTAATCGTACCGTAAGGTTCTTGCTCCAAATACGCCACAGATCTAGTACCTACCATATGGTACAAGTACGACGAGGTAGGAAGGCAAATGTGTGGACCGAATGTGTGACAGGTTATAATTCCAAAAAAACCGCGCAGTTTTTCTAGTAAAAAAAACCAGCATGAGGGTTGTCACACCCTCCAGACAGAGCAATTGGGGACACTTCCTGGCAACACACCTACTGGAATAACTTCATTACTATAATAATAAGAAGGGGATCCGAAAGTCTCAGATCAATCGACCAACAAGTGTTTTTTTAATGAGAGTTTTCCATATCAGTATCGTAGGATACGTACAAATTAGTACTACTAAATATTTCGATATAAAAATACTTGATGGTTTTTTTCAAAGTGAGACAGGTTCATGTTGCGAAGGCAAATGAGGTGTATTGTTCTCTCCGTAGAGCCGTGTACAATTTGTACTGATTCCGGACCTGTCACACACACATTTGCGTTCCTTCCTCGTACTTATTCCTGATGAATCCAAAGCTCTGAAATTGTTCTGTACTTTTCCGTACTTTGAGTACATTCACACTCACATCTACATCAGTCAATAGGACTCGTACCGGTACCGTCCCAGTGTAATTCCAGAAGGAACAAAACAATAGTCAGCGTTCGAATAAATGAGACGCTACGACACGAGTTGGGCTCGTGCCTCCCTCAATCTAATTTCGCTTCTACTACGTACGTAGTATCTGTCGAAAATCATATAAGCTCATTCTTTTTTGTATCTTCCATAGAGATGGCTATATTGTTGGTTTTGATTCATGCGATCATGTCAAACGCGTGCCTTACACAAACCGCAACACACCCATTGTTAATCGGGTTTCATTCGTGACTTTTGTTGTAACTTCTCTATTGAGGACCAGAAGAAATAAGTACGTATGTAGCCCATCAACTTGAAATAATCCTATTTTCCTTCGCCAACCGCTGTACACATTTTATTCCTCCTGTAATCGAGTTTTTTGGTTGCATTGAAAATCCCATGCAACGGTCGTATAAACTGCGTACGTAGTACCAAAGATTTTAGGAAACGTTAAGAGACGAGATCATCCAATACCGGTACGCTTGTCGCCTACGCAATCTTCATTTTAATTATTGTATTCTTCTCATTTGAGTACACCGTGGAGACTATCAACAATGCCGCCAGAAAACTCAATGAATCATACCTCGGCAAATCAGCACCCAGGTCAACAAGCACCTGGTTTGCAGGAATTGGCACCCGCACCCCCTGCAGGCAGAGCTGCTCCAACCAGCACTGCCGGTACGCATCCAGCTCAAGAGATCACTTCAGCAGTCACAGCTGCGACTGCTGCACAGGCAGCTGCTGTAGCCGCAGCTGCGGGAAGAGACATGAAGAACTTTTCGGACATTGAGATCAACGAGCTCTTGGGGTTGATTCCCGACGAATACACCGCGGAACAGGAAGCAGAAGAAGCAGCCGCAACCGCGGCTGCAAATGCTGCAATGGCACTTGGAAAAGGAGTTCATCACAACGTGACCGCAACTACTCTATCAGTTCCATCGAACATTCTCCGAGCTTCGAGCACCAACGCGACGGACCTGAAACAGAGTAGGGGAACCAAAAACGGCAATACTAGTATTCAAGGAAAGTCACAGGATGATCACATCGCAGCCCAAGAGGCGCAACTGAGATCGGAACGAAAGCGAAGTCGAGAAAAGCAACGTAGAAACGATGTTAATAGGCAGTTTGCAGAGCTGACCGAGGTATTGAAGAATATAGAACGAGAAGCTCAGGAAATGGGACGGAATGACGACGCTTACGGTAGTGTGTCGACTATGATGGCCATTGCTGCGAGCACTGGTCCAACCAACCGTGTTGATCTTATTGCGAGGACCATAGTGCACCTTGAACGCCTGAATCGCACAGCGAAAAAGCAACGATTAGAGATAAGTAGCCTCCAAGAGCAACTCGAACGTACTAAGAAGTCCGGGGAAGATATGGCTGAGAAACTGAAAGATGTGATGTTCAATCAGCAGAGGCAATTCACCACGTCAACATTTCCTCCATACCCCAACATGACACGACAACCCGTGACTGCAGTAGAAGGAACTCAAGCCGCACCAGCACCCGGTGTAAACTCTGTTCCCACTACCAATGGTCTCTCAAGCCTTCCTACTAGTCATCAACAACAGGTACGACTATGGTCAATATTTATTTTGATATCATCTTTTCTTCACTCTATACTATGCAACTCTCTCACACGTCTTCACTGTTTTACATTGTTCAGATGCCAGTGATGATGATGATGATGCCCCCGCCAACAACCCAATCCCCTAATACCTCTAGTGTTTCTACGGGAGCACCTGGCCCAGCCACGATGCAACATCAACCCCAACAGCAATTTATGATGGTGATGCCCCACCCTGGATCTCAGGTGTCCATGCCTATGCAACCTGTTCAACATATGATGCAGACCATGCCGACTACACATCAACATCAACATCAACAACAGCAACAGCAACAACCACAACCGGTGGTTCAACGACAGCAACAAGTGCAAGCGCCAATTGCACAACAGCAGATCTACGTTCAGCAGCAGCAGCAGCAGCAGCCAGTCGGACCTACCACACAAAGATGCAGAGGAAAGGGAAGCTCTGGTGCCGGAGAGAATCTTGCGCATGCGGCATGAAAAGCTGATTAACTATGCTGTGGAGTCGGTAGTGGGCTATTCGACATCCAAAGGGAACACGACTAAACACATGAAGAAACCAAATAGTACTAGAGCAGGAATAGTTGGCCTTTCGCAACGTGATAACTGCCGTTAACTCTAAATTACTCATCGTATATTAAAGCAAGCATCATTGAAGACTATCACGTTATTTCGGTAGAACTTTGATGCTCGTACCATAAATACCATTGTAAGAATCGGTAGTAGTGCAGTACTAAATTTAGTTCTGTGGGTTACACGGGGAGGTAGATTTTGGTGTGACGGCCGTTACTTCTACGAGCACGAAATAATAATGTGGTTGGTGTTTCGATGAGGCTCAAAAGGCCATTCAAAGTAGTTTTTAGAACGTATTGATTTTCATCACTTGTAACGAATAAGATAGTTGAGCCAACCATTTCGTTCTGTTCTGTTTTGAGTTCACAAACAATGAATTCCTTCACAATTTTTATTGGTGATCGATTGCGGAATTCGTTTTTATTTTCGCCAGAACACGACCTGCTTCATACACGCACTAAAAGCGTGACGAGCGAAACAAAATGTGAATGGGACACACTACAAACATGCACCTTGTCGACGATTGCTTCATCTTGAGGCAAGTCCACTTCTGTACTGTGGAATCAATTCCCGAATTTTTCTCGACAAAGACACCAGAATGATACCATGACTCGACACGTCATTTCGAGAATCAAAAATAGTATCTAAGCAGTTCCTAGGTGCATCTGGGATTCACACTACGCAGTTTTTGACTTTCAACAGACAACAGGACAATGCAGTTTCTTTTCTGTCATAATGCGAGAGTCTCTCGCTTCCAATAAAGTKTAATTATCAATCAATACCTCGACAGTTTCCGTGAAAAGGAAGAAGAAAGATGCCCATGATCACCAAGTTTGCTCTCTTGGATTTATTTTCAAATCCAACTCGGGATTCTTCCAGCATTGACGCATTATCGCCATCCAAAACTTCACCGAAAATCAGAGCTGGTGTTCGAAGAATACCAAGCACTTCATCGACGTCAAGTGTTTCATCCACTAAATCCGATTGCTCTAGCTGTCCTAATTTCGAAAATTGCGGAGGAGATCCCAATTACGACCAAAAAAATTCCAAGAAAGCGGGCGAAGTTGCGATCGGAACCTCTTGCCCTCCATCACTGCGAGAGCAAATGCTTAAGAGCCTAGAATGGTAAAAGGTGGTGTTAACAGGTGGCTGGTAATTGGAATTGTTGATCTCCCTCATAATCAATAATTTGTTTCCAGTGGTAGCCAATCTGGTTGGGTACAAACAGCATGTCGGCTGGGACGAAGAAAATTCTCTCTCGGAAATATCCTTTCCCCTCCAACACCGTCGAACTGTATGATCATTGTGTTTCACAAATGTACACCTACGTGTAATCTTAAAATCGAACACTCATGTAAATTAGTTAAAACAATACTATTACTGTGAGTAATCGAATTGCTTCGTTGTACAGCATTGGATTTCTTCTGGCAATTTTCAAGAGAAGGAATATGCACAACCATTATTCAATGCATGCAATGCGATTAATTTTCTCTACTAATAATATGATCTATTGACACAGAATATTTGAGTCGTTGCAGTCCCTTCAATTTGCGAAAGTTCCAGTTCCAATGAAAGCATGTGTCATACTGGTACCAGATGAAATCATTCAGAGAATCATACAGCCAAATATTACCATAGCATCGTATTGCCGAACACGAAAACCCAAATATTCCTACCAGCAAGATCATCTTTGGTTGGCTCTTTCAGCATCCACCAAAACTGGCTTGAATTTTCTCGCAAATAGATGGATCGATGCTGCATACCCCAATGTGATGGTGTCGAAGGCGATCTTGCAAGCGCTCCGTGATATTGGAAGTTTTCCTCTTGCTCCACAAGTGGATACGTGACGACATGAAATAGAGAAATGAGGATATCAACTGCAACAGATTGTGAGAATGCCATGGTCTTATTTTCTGGTCAGTATTGAGGTGAGATATCGCAGTTGACATTAATTTCCATGACGGAAAAAGTGCATTCCAGTAAGATCCCTTCCATTCGAACTTTCCATATTTGTTCTCAAAACTGTATCATGAAGCATACTAATAACGTGGTTGTCAATTTAGAAGATGAGTTTAGTCGTAATCGCGTCACGGTTAACACGCGCTCCGCCAACAAGAGCCTTGCGTCTTCAACATTGATATTGTACCGTTTTCTCCTTACTTTATTTTTACTGTAAATAATAAAGAATATGGCTTTTAAGTACGATGAAATAAATAAGGTCCAGACCAATTGCTCTTCGTTAAGACGCAGCTTCAAAGCAGATTAACATTTAGATCTCGCAATTTAACGCTCATTAGTACTGTATTTTATTACAGTGAACGATATGCGAGCAGTAATCCAACAATCGTACTAACAAAGTTTTTTCTTCAAAATCTTTCGCTCAGTTCTACTTCTAGCACGCTAAAAACCGAGTATCGTGAAATCAATTCCGCGACTCAATGCCATATTTTTTGAATTTTTGAAGAATTGAATCGTGAATGCTACGAGACGAAGACCGTCATGACACGCGTTTAACACATGGTTTCCACGCTACGAATGACGTAAGCTTAGCTTTTTAGACGTATTTTAAACTACTAGTGGTGACTTGCTGCATCAGTTTTTACGATGCTAGTTTCTCAATCAAATCATTGCACTCCCTCCGCGTGCAGAGCATCGTATTCGGGTAAGAGTAGTAAACGAGAGAGCTACTAATACGAAGTAAAGATTGGGGACTTCTTGTTGCGAAAAATGATCTCCGGACAGTGATTGATGATGTGCGTCTGATTTTCGGAACCCCCATGAGCTCTCTCGAATGTAGCATAAACTGATAAGACAGGTCATAGAGTTTGATTGTCGCGTGACAGCAAGATTATAAATTTTCTGTAGACCAGCAGTAACACACTTATACAAGTGCAACAGGCACCAAATTGGAACATGTACGCCCTCTTCACACGCCGTTCATCAATTGTGGTTTCCGTTCTCGTATTCTATGTTCTAGAATCAATCGAGGTTTCAGCATGGATACCTGCGGCTGGGAAGATTTCTCCGAAGTCTGCCGCACTATCTTTTCAGCGCAGCAGCAGCAATTCAGGATCTGTCTGCTACTCCACGCTCGAGGACAAAACAGAGCCCTCGCCCCAAACTACCCAGCTTGAACCACGTTTGTCATCCTCCATAGTGCTTTCAACGCCAAAGATAAAATACACAGTACCAGGAATGAAACGCGGCTGGAAAGAAAACGGTGTGTGGATGGACGAAGATGGACCGCGAAATGGGCCACCTCAAAATTTCTGGAGGCAAATGGGTGATGAACGACTATACGATGAAAACATGCAGCTGGTAAATAATCTGTTAAAATTGAACACCTTTGATGGGAAAGGGTTGGGAATCAACACAAGCAGTTCCAATCGTTTGAGCGACATGATCAGTGGAATGGTGGAGAAACTCGAAAAGACCAATTCCATCCGCATTCCATCCCTGAACCGATTGATCCTGGGAAACTGGGCTCCCATTGTCCGGGGAGGCCAAGTCGTAGCTGCATCCAACGAAAGCAAGGAAGGAAAAATAACAGCAGTTTCAGTTCCGTATCGATTTCACGTCCAGCGAACCGGTGGACAAAAGCTAGCTCATAAAACGCCTTATGGCCAATTTGACGAACACTTGGAACCCGAAGAAGAACTCACCATCCGGGAGCTATCTTCGGATGGAAATACTGTCTCCACTACATCGTCTGGCGTAGTAAATGCGTCTGGGGATAAGTACGAATCAAGGCTTGTGAAAGGATTGCACAACGCAAGTGAAAGCGATTCGTTGTACCTCGGTGCCATTACATATGTCACCAAATATCTCATAATCATGCGACGATTTGAATCGTCACAGGAACAAGAGGGCGACAAGCCAGCTAACGGACCGGTGACAGAGATTTGGATCAAGGTCGACAGTGACGATGGTTCGAAGTAAGATATAAACATAGATATGAAGCGATGTTCTATTTATATCCAAATGGACCATCACCATGTCATCCGACCGACAAAGACCCCTGCAAACTTTCTCATCGAGCAGTAGACATTCCTGAAACCGCACAAATATTCGAATTCTGTTCCTTCGTGGTCATGGAGTAAATGGAATCAGAATGTGACGCATCTTCTTGGAAACATAGAAACCTGTTTTTTTGCTTTCTTTTTACAAGGATCGGATCAATACACGTTTTAGCTGCAATATGATTCTACTGTGTCCAGAACCTACGAGCACAACATATTATGAAAATCCGTTGGTGGACTCTATCGTTGTTTTTCATTTTAGCTTTATGGCAATTAGTTTGGAATGACAGATTTGTGCGGCCAAACAGCGACAGCGCACATGATTTTGTCTGCAGATCCCATTTAAATATTATTTATCTCTAGTACTAGTAGCAATGTTTCGTACATACGCTTTGCGCTTCGTTGGCACCAGTGAAAAGAATGGATCTTCGCCGTGAAGAATAGTATATTGCGCCAAATAACACTCAACAACTGATAGTGGCGTATCACCATTTTCACCCCAATGGGTTTCTGCCTTGGGGTCTACAGAGCAATTTCGTTTTGCGTGTCTGAAGTGATGGCTGCCTATTCCACCACATTTTTGGGTAACACGTAAAGATCATTATGGTAAGGCAGGTTCATGTAAGCGTTATACCCAGCAAAGAAAAAAAGTCAAGAACGGAGATTTTGTTTCCAGCAGTATTCATCCTTAATCTTAAGGCTTTCGAAGTGCTAGAATGGGATTATGTTATTTACCAGTTCAAGCTGAATGCCCACAGCGACGACGCATCCGCCAACTCTTTAAGGTGGTCAATAGCATAGTACGATCAGTAGGTTTGGGGACAAGTTCCCGTTGCCCATCCCACTTCCAGCGAACGAGTACCACCGTACATACGATTACTTGTACGTTCGAACCATAAGGTATGATTCGTACTCCTCTCATTTTTTAATCGGATTTTAATCACGCAAGTGATTCGGAATTTAAGAAGGGGAAAATCAATCGGTGTCAACGCTCTTTTGCTGATCTCGTGCCCGACACGCTTGAGACCCACGAGGGAGAGAATCCGCACGGGTCATCTTTTCCCATAAAAATTCCTCCACAAGATAACGTACGAAATAAATATGTTTGTCGAGTAGAAGAAAACAGGACACATGTTCAGCACCATCGAACATTGTGACTAGAATTATCCTTGGGTGGTTCTCCGTGAATATGGCACTTGACAGGCTCGATAACGTGCTTGACTGGTTGGTTTGAAACCTCCAAAATGCCTCCACAGTGTGCGCTGTTATGTCATCCATATGTTGTCAACCTCCCCGAGACACAAAACAGCAGGCAGATTATGATCGGCACACTAGTAGTGCATGATTACCATGCAATCCTCCCTGTACCAAGAATGGACTGGACGTCTCTTGGAGCAACTAGAACAATTCAAATTCTTTCCAATGATTGCCAGGAACTCAATGTAAGGAACCAAAATACTTCAACATTGCCAATGTTTCAAATGACGGGACACTATTGAGAATATCCATCGATTCGATATACCAGAGAGAAACAAAGCCATTCAAGCAACGGGGAATTAATTTGAACACTTATTGCTCTATTGAATCCACCATTGGTATAGGACACGCACAATCCACCACAAGAATTCCAGGACAGAGGGTGGTAGCGGAGGGACAGAGGACAGAATGGAGGACGGCTACAACGGCGACAATGGCCGTCTTTCTCCCTGGTGCGACATAAACTCGGACCAGCAACATCAGCACGATCAACAGGCCCATCAACATCAGCAGTATCATCAAGGGCAACACCAAGAAGAACTGATGTCACCGAATAGAAGCATGTTCAATACTGACGAGTCTTCTCGTTCAAACATTGACGCTTCCCGTCAGTCATTATCCGCACCACCACAACAGCAGCAAGAGGAATCTCTGCGCCAACAAAATTATTATTCGACTCACCAACCAGGACAGCAACAGCAACAGCAGCAACAACAACAGCACCAGCAGCAACAACAACAGCAGCAGCAGCAGCACCACCAACAGCAGCAACAGCAGCAGCACCAACAGCAGCAGCAGCAGCAACAGCAGCAGCAGCAGCAACAGCAGCAGCACCAACAGCAGCAACAGCAACAGAGTCAACACATGTTTCTACAACACCAAATATATTACCAACAAGTACCACAGCAACAGCAGCAACCGATCCCTTTGCAGCAACAGCAACAACTGCAACAAAATCATATTCAACGTCAATATCAAACAGGAATGGGTATCGAAATGATAGATGACGAAAAAATCAGTTTAGGAGGTGAAAATACAAATTCGTACTCTGTTCTATTTGACAATTATGGGAATAACAATTTGCAGCGGCAGACTAACGGCATGCAGTCACCGCAAATCGTATTATCACCTCAAAACCAACCATATAGCAACAGCAGTGCCCAGAACGAAACGCAAAAAAGTGGTGTTACGAACGCGAACGCGAATGCTGATGCTGCCACCAGTGCTAAAACAGCGGCCGCCATGACCAAAGCCGAGATTCGTTCCCAACGGAAACGAACCCGCGAAAAGCAGAGACGAGACGGAGTGAACCGTCAATTCGCGGAACTCACCAAGGTGCTGAAGCGCCTCGAACTCGAGGAACGGGAAGAAGCGGAACGAAACGCTAGAATAGCGGCCGGTGACAATGACGCTCTTGCATCGTCGTCGTCATCGTCTCTCTACGGTGCTCGGCTTTCCTTTCTTTCACCAAACAACAGCGTGGATTTGATTAGCTGCGCAATCGTGCACCTACAACACCTACACCGTGTCATGAAGAGGCAGCAACGAGAAGTCGACGACCTTGCGGACGAATTGAAAAAAGTCAGGGCAGCAGGAGAATCTACCGCAGCGAAACTTAAGGATGTGCTGTTCAATTATCGGCCGCCTCGACCATCGTTAGGGTCGACGAATCCAAGTTTCAATTTAAGCGGGGCCGGCACCAGTAATAGCACCCAAACGGGGATGGACAGCAACAAAACAACCAATACTGAAAACGTAAATGTAGGTGGTACCAGTGGGATCGGGATTACAAACTTTGCTAACCAAGCAATCAACCAAGCTCTACAACAAAAGGGGCAGCAGCAATATTCTCAATATCAACAACCAGTACGTAAAGAAAAACTGAGCAGAGATAGTTTTGGTTATTCAATGGATCCTAGCAATGAACTAGGAGTCATTTCTTCCGGAGAATGTTTATTGATGCCTGTGTTGTGTCATACCATGTATTGTACCATTCCCTACATTACTGTGAGTAAAGATTGCGCCAATCTCAAACATTAATTACGTTGCTCTCTTTAACACTTGCAGGTCATGATGATGGTACCCATGATGATGGGGGTAAATGGAACCACCGTTCTTGGACATAACGCAGCTAACGTGGCACAAAACACAACGATGTATCCATCCGTATCCATGGGGGCTCAGTTTCCTTCTGTTCCTGTAGTCAACAACAACAACAACAACAGGAATGGCAGTAGTAGCAATACCACTACTACCGTCCCTCCCACTGCCCAAAGTCCAGCGACACCAGCAGCTCCGTCGTCACTAGGAGATACACGATTGTCTGCCCAGCCGTCCCAGAACCAGAACCCACCGCGAACAGCACAGCAGGTGCAATCTCAACAGAATTGTGCTTCGCTCCAAACTGCGTTACAGCAGCAACAGCAACCAACCCATGTTGCGCCACCTTCTACCGATAATGGCACCGTCACATATAGCACTGCCAGCGGAACAACTCCGACGCTCGAGCAGCAACGGCAGCAGCAAGTTGTGCAGCAGCTCCGGCAGCAGTATTTACAGCGCCAGAGCCAACCAATCGTTCCGGATTCACCCCTGCAGCAACATCAACAACAACCTCATCGGTTGATTCCAGAGCGTACGCGACTAGGCTATTCCACGGCTCCGGCTGTCTCCGAGACGAAGGACCAGCAAGATCAAACCAATACTCCTGTGGGGGGACCCTTCGCAGTCGCTCTCGCCGCGGCTTTGTCGAACATGCGAAACGGTACACCGGTGGATTCCTCCAGGCAGCAAGAGAAGCAAGAAGAAGAACAACAAGGATCCCCATTGATATCCAGGGGAGGCACAGCTCCCGGGGCACCGGTACCCGGAACAAGTGTGGCATCGGCGTTTCTGCACGCCTCCCGAACGTTAGCGGCTGCTACTGGGGAGACACCAGCGCCCGTCCACTCGTCCATCCATGCGACCACTAATTCGGATCCCGGTTCCAATTCCAATACAACCCAACGCTTGAACTCAGAATCTGCTGCTGCTACTGCACCAGAAAGTGTTCCGGTTAGCTCTAGTTCGACGAATAACAAATAGTAAAGTCCTTCGAAGGAATAGCACATCACAGAATAGTACCCCGATGCTTTGATCATATTTCCATGCAATATCAACACAGTACTTTTTTTGGCCGCAACAACCTCGTCGCAATAACCATTCTCTTCCAAAACAAGAGGTTAAGTCTGAACCATTTCCAGAAGTCTACCTCATTTTGTTTTCGGTTTTGGCTTCGATTCGTTTCGTCATCGACAACGGAATAACAACAGTTCGTTTTCTTTTTGTGTGCTTCTTCGGTTTGTTTTCTCGTCTGTCGTAGGATCACGCCAGAACACATCAGACCACGGAACGGAGTTTCCCAGCACCCAGGGTCAGCTTTCGAAGGGTTTCGTGCTGCAAAATGGTGGAGCGATCGCGATTCCCAGCGGTTTCCGTTTCGTAGAGTCCCGGCTTGTGGGTGACCGATGCCACCACGCCGTTCCATTCGCTGGCGATCTTGTGCAGGGAAGGCCTTACGTTCTGGACGACCGCGGTCGTTTCCACGTCCATCCATTCGTCGAGCAGGAGGATCGGTCCGGGGAGAAGAAACACTGGCTCTTCGTCTTCTCGTGGTGGTTGTTCCTGGCTGCCCATCGCCACCGCCCTCCCAACACTGCTTTCGATGCAGGCCGTTCCCAAAGAAAACCGGTATCGCTCTGAGGGTGTGAGATCAGCAAGAACCGAATCAAGATCCAACTCAAAGATTTCTATTGCCATGGTCTCCAACAGGGTGCTTACAAGCCAGGATGCGCTGTTGTTGTCGACGTCCTTTTCCTCGTCGTTGTTCTTTCCCGATAGCTCGCGAAGGATACAATCCCTCCATCGCTCCCCAACGGTAGATTTGGTTTTGCTGCTGTATCCTTTGTTGATATCGCCCCGATCATCTAGAAGGATGGCGATCGGCTGTTTTGGCGCGGTAGGCTTCCCGCTGACTGGTGCGATCCACTGCGAATCAATGCGGACACTTCCCCTGCAACGTTCTGGCGGGAGGGATTTGATTTCGAGCACGGATTTGAGAACAGTGCTCTTCCCCGACGACGAGGCTCCCAGCAAGAGATATATGGTACCGTCCCTATCGGTTTCGGATCTGTTGATTTCTCCGAGGCGGAAGGTGACGTTTTCTAAGGCGTATTCCCTGCGGGGAACGCTCGAGGTGAGTTTCCTCCAGAGGCTCGGGGGTCCGTAGGATCGATAGAAACCGTCGAATTCGATGGTGGTAGCTGCCCATTCGATGGCCCGAAGCGTTGTTGTTGCATCATTGCTTGCCCTTATGGGATTTCCCTTGGGATGCAGCGTAGCTGCAGAGCGTGGTGGCCTGACCGAAAAGGAAGGAACTGGCCAAGGCGTTGAAGCAAGGAACGAATCGGAAACAAACCCCAAAACGCACCACAACTGCAATGAAAACACCACCMCAACGAAGGAGAACCACGAACGTCGCCAGAAGGCTGACATCGCCAGAGACAGTGAGCAACCACGATTCCGTACTACGTTGTCACAGACCGATTTCCTCCGAATTCGAACGCAGTTGTTGTTCGCCATGCTGCCTTTCCGATTGATCCGGCGAAACGTCAGTCTTGTTCTTCTTGATGTTTTCGTAATTCGTAATAATTTAGCGGGGAAAAGTTTACTTTTGACGAAGCTATACTTTTGTTTAGCTAGCTAGACAGAGATAGAGGGAGGGATTGTCACCGCCGTCTCTGAAACCAGAAATGTGTCTGCTTCGAGTATTTTTTTTGACACGGTTTTTCATTTCGAAAAAGTCGAGTTTGGATTTTCTGAACTCCATGCGTACGTACCGGTATGCATGCGTGCATACTCATACTGGTACCTACGTACGTTGGAATGAGAGCAACGAAGATGCGATCCGTGCTCCGTTCGTACGAGGCTGGGGTGTTAAATATCGTGTGCGATTTATAACAGGTTATGAGTCAAGTTTTTGCGAGCCGTTTTTAGTAACAAGGAGCAAGCTTTGCATGCTTGTTAAGGATAGCAAAGGACCAATCAGATTTAGAGAATCCGTCGGCTGGAAAGGGTTTTCTTTTCTCTTTCCAACGATATGCACATTACTGGGCGTACAGTATCGTACACAATAACCAAAAAAATTGTACTAAATCGTCACCTGTTCGTTCATACGGATCGTACCTTGACGCAGGGGTCTAAATTTATGACCCCTGCACGTCAAGGGTCAAGGCAGTAGAGCTACTAAGTACGGGCCCCATAATGGCAAGTTATTGGCAATCCCCGTACAAATACTAATAGAAATTTTTAGCTCATTTTTACAGTTAAAACCAGTTAAAAAAGGCATCCAATGGACCAAAATAAAAATATTTCCATTGTTTAATTTCTCGCTAGTCCCAAAATATTTCTATTGGTGGTCCTAAATATTCAAGATAAGCACTGATTTGATATTCTCACTAGTAAGGACCAGGAATAGAAATATTTTTGGACTTGTAGTTTTTTGTGTGGATGGGGGGAGAGGGGAAATAGAGACGGGAAAATGAGAAGAAATTGACGTACGGAAATTGCCAATAACTTGCCGTTATGGGGCCCGTACTTAGTAGCTCTACAAGGCAGGGACAGTGTCCCGGTAGACATATCTAGACCTCTTGCGAAACGAATTTTTGTGGGGTGAGAGAGAATTGATGTGGAAAAATCATTTTTCGGACCTCTCGGATCTTTCGTCGAATGCGTGAATGAGTGTAGGTATGATCATACCCTGACAGGTATGATCATATCCATCAGGGTATGATCATACCCTGACAGGTATGATCATATCCATCAGCGTATGATCATACCCTGACAGGTATGATCATATCCATCAGGGTATGATCATACCCTGACAGGTATGATCGTATCCATCAGAGTATGATCATACCCTGACAGGTATGATCGTATCCATCAGAGTATGATCATACCGTATTGATCAGGGTATGATCATACCCTGACAGGTATGATCATATCCATCAGGGTATGATGTATGATCATACCCTGACACGTATGATCATATCTATCAGGGTATGATGTATGATCATACCCAGGCCGGTATGATCATACCTTATTAAGTATGATCATACCTAAACAGGTATGATCGTACCTTGAGACTTTTCATCATGCCGTAGACCGTACGGTACAGTATTGACGTACGTACCCTCAATGCGCTCATACAATCATTAGAAACTACAGTAGTATGTGTCACAGTATGTTCTTACCCTCAATACTACCGTCACGGGTCACGGTATCATGCTATCCAATATCGAATGTGTAGACGCTAGATTCTTGAAAAGAATTAGAGCGTTTATTCTATTTTAGAGTCGATATTTACTGACAACGTCGAGATAGTAATGCAACTCGGAATCGTGGGCGGAGATATTGAGGAATTTATTGGCACGTCGATTCACGCCATATCTTTCACAGAACAGTACCGGTATCGTCCATGCATGCAAGCAGCACTATATTGAGAGCTCTTGAAGTATTGTACCGCCGAACACAGCATGGCTTGGCTCAGGCATTTTCTTCGTCGCTGGAATAACGGAGCTTCTCAACGTCGCCCTGTCCACCCATCATGAGACCAATCTTGTTCTGGATGTCGTCCTGGCGTTCCTGAGTCATCCCAAGGTGTTCCGCGGCGTCTTGGGCGGCGTTTCCGTTCGTTCGATGGAACTGCGTGTTGTTGTGTTCGCGCGTGCTGTGCGCCTGGAAGTGAACGGTGCGGTGGTAGGCCCAGGGAGGGTTCTGATGGATGCTGCTCAGCATCTGGGGTGGAACCTCCGGGGCTGGGCTTTCTCCTAGCGACAGCCGCTGTCTGCAAAACTCGAGAATGCCCTCAAATACAATAGGCGGCCGGGCATCATTGTGGCCACCAGGCACCATAAAGAGATTCGTTGTGACGCCCTGCTTGTAGGATTCGACCAACCGCTCCGAGTGCTGGGGCGTGATGAAGTCGTCGTCGGCTCCCACCACAAAGAGGGCCGGAACATCAATGTTGGGGACATCTTCAATAGGGGTGATTTCCCGTATGTTAAATCCAGCCAGGTTGCGGACGGACCTGGCAATCATGGCAATAGCGACGGAAATGACCACACCGGGAACTACAACTCCCTGGGCCCGGGCCCGCTCAACGAGTTCCTCGCATAAGTGGAGTAGGCTGGCAAAGGGTGAATCACAGATGAGCCCCTTTAGTATGGAATTGTTGTTCTTGCTGGGCTGCGCACTATTTGTGACGATGTCGTCCTCCATGGAGCCAGAGCTGCTCTTTTTTCTTAAATCGTGCACGATGTCCTCCTCATCGTCAGTGCTGTCGCTGTTGTCTCTGTTGCTGTGGTTCCTACTGTGTTTTGTGGCGGTAAATGATTTCTTCCCGGCATGCATCAATGCAGTCGAAGCTCCCATGGATCGACTATTATTTTTTTGAAAAACAAGAAAAAAGTTGAAAGTTTAATCTCTTTGTTAGGGACGTTGTCTGTGACCAAATTGCCACCAAGAATGGCAGGTAAACAAGCGCAACTGCACGATATCGCCCAAAATCAATCCACACGCAGCGAATCACACGCATTCCCACGATCCATTGGTCCATCAAGCACGAAAGCACTTTCTACTACTCACCCCCATAGAATTAGTTCAAGGTCGTCCCCGTCGGGGCCTCCGTACACACTCTTTAGGTACTGAATGAGGCACTCCAGGTCGACCCGTTCGTAGTACCCCAGGCTGACGTAGTCGCCGTCGGATTTTCCGCTGCCCGTAAAATCCACCCCCACGACGCCAAATACCCCAACCTGTCCAAGCAAAAAAGAGAGGTTGGGGACGACCTCAACTCGGGCGCTAGCATTTCCGTGAAGGTAGACGACCATCGTGCGCTTCTTTCCGGGAGACGGGCCATCGCTCTCCGACGGTTCGTCCTCTTCGCCGTTTTCTCCGCTGGCCTGCGTCCCCCGGTGGTTGCAGGAGCTGTAGGGATCGGGATCGCCTTGTTCACCAACCCTCGTCCAGATCGAGGCCTGCATCTTTAGAAAGGAACACGTGGGAGTCGCTCCTCCCTCCGCGTTGGTCTTTTCTCCCTCCACGGGTTCGTTTGTGGCCACGTTCGACGACAAGAGCTCGACGTCGTCCCTCCGATATCGCTGCCCTAAGAAGGTAAAATCCGGTGGTCCCAGCTGATCCATATTGTACTTGGCCCGGGGTGGCCGAATGATGGCGTGGACCAATTGCTCGTATCTGATGCGTTGCAAGGCAAAAAGTTACGGATGGAGCAGTTTGCAAAACGGAGTTTCGGTCGGAAAGGAAATCGAAAATTTGAGCTCTGTGTTTTGTCTTTTTCTTCAAGACTGGAACAATGCCACAATGCATCCTCTTGTTTCTCATTGCACTCATATCCGTACTAGCAGATCAATTCCCGACAAACACGCAACGGCGCCTATATGATTCGATTCGATTCGATTCGCCGCTTTTGCAGCATTCCAAGAGCTTTGGTGCACCGACGAAACGAAAAAAATTAACAAACTTACCCTTTCTTGGCCATCTCGATGTTTTGCGAGATGCGTGCACCGAGTCCTATCCGTGGTGCTTGCTGTTCCATAGACCCATCGCTGCGGCTCCGGCTGCTGTTTCTGGATATCCGCCTCGGGCGGGGTGCCTGTACACCATCGTTCGACATAGTTGCGAAATTTTCACCGAGTAGTACGGTATGTTGTATTCTATTCTATTCAGCGGCGAGGAATCCGTCGTTGTGTTCGTGTGGATTGCGAGCCGTCGTTTCTCTCCTTGTCTTTACTATTTCCTTCGTTTGCCACAGTCGGTATGTTTGGAGGATTCGGTGCTGGGCTTTGAAGGCCATAGAACAATGGTGGTACCGGTACTTCGGTCTACCGTACCCGCATGGTATGGTTTTGTTGTGTTCGTCGATCGTCGTCTTTAAGGTCATTGGGCTGAGATTTGAACTACAAATACGGGTACTCGTACTCCTATGTACTTTTATTCGTACGGTGCGGGTAGTAGCTCAATTTTAAAAAAAAAATACCTACGCTTAGGTTCTTGTCGTACATTACGTACCAACAACAGGTACGGTACAACTAACTACGACTGCCGTTTCATCTGGGCCCTACCTCGTACCTTACGCTTTAACGGTACGAGGGTGTTCACAGGGGTCTAAATTATGACCCCTGGGTGTTCATCGGATAAAAATATTATTCATTCTGGTTTCGGGTTTTGGTGGATTTTGGTTTTTGAGATTCATTCGACACTAACCGTTCCAGATATGGAAAATGACTACGGAGGAGCCCAAAACATGCCCTCTGTACTGCGCCCTTCCCCCCTTTTGAATTTGACTCTAATTGCTTGAGCCAACTCCAAGTTCTCAATAGCAGCACTACGAGTACGAGTACCCGTACGTAACGTCACTGGTTCCAGCAATTACTTTCATTTGCTATCAAAAAGGGGGGGTTCTAAATTCGCGCACCTTGGTTCTAGAGGTCAAAATCAGTCGGCTATGGACATAATTCTTCTACTAGGAAGTACAGTAAGTCTACCAGTAGTTGATAATGACTGAGTCATCGAAGCTGTCCATCCGTCCATCCGACCTTCAATGTTGACGATAGATTAAATAATGATTCCATCGAGTCGAACAGAGATATGGTTCTATCGCCATGGCAAGCCAAGCGGACTGGGACAAAGGAATGTGCACACACGCCGCTCTATAATATCCTACGTATCCGTAGATCTATATATCCCGATCCTAAGTAATTGCACATGTAGGAACGGAAAGGCTCGGCGGGATCTAGATTTCAAATCGAGTGGAGTTAGTAACTCCCAATTTTTCGCGCCTTTTTTTGGGATCGGCAATGTCATACCTTCGAAACGCACCGATGTTGCGCGCCTCAACTGGGGCGCCACGACTATCAATCAGTGATTTTCCTTTCAACGATGATTCATGCCACAGAAACCAAGAAAAGTCACGTATTTTACTACGGTAGTTTTCTCAAATCACCTGTTTTCTCCGCGCACGGCCTCTCCTATCGTAGCATTTAACGAGATACAGTACTCCACCTACTATCTCCAGTAAGCGTACCTACCTATCGTTCCGTAGATGGCATTTTTGTTGATATTCCCTCCATCCATCAGTCTCCGAATCATTAACGATCACAACCTTGGCCCACTGTCTCGTCTTTGGACACCGATATTGTTAACACGACACCAGGAAACAATCAAGAACAGCAAACTGCAGGCATCACTCCCGTAACTTATTTTCACAGAGCAAACGATAGACTTTTGCCAAAATACCCAGGAGAACCATACTAGCTACTTTTGGAAAAACGAAACAAAACGATAGGAGTTCTTGGTGGAACCCGTTCCGTTCCTAGCAAATCTCCTATTCAGTCATTAAATCCATGGCAGCATAGCGAACATGAGTGCCTCAACCACATTTCCGGTCGCTGACAATGCAAACAACAACAACCACAGAAACAATAATAATGTCAGTGGCCGTCCGTCTCCCCCCCCGGCGAGTCTCGAACGAAAATTCGAGTTGCTGGAACGACGCTTTACGCAACCGATAGGTATCCTCCACCAGAGCAATAGCAACTCGGTGTCCCCCCATCCCAGCAACGAACATTCACATTCGCACTCGAATCTCTCCGAGCACTCTTTTAGCTTTCGGAGCAGCAACCAGTCGAGTTCTCAGTATAATTTGCAGCAACCCACCATGACGATAAGGTCCAAACGAAACAGTAGCAACAGCCTCCGGCAGATGACCTCCCTGGACATTGTCAATCGTGCCGCAGCGGAGCACATGAGAAAGGTGGCCTCGTCCTCCCCCCTCAACGGGCTTCCGGGAAGAACCACAATGGCAGGGACCTCGGCAACAACTACCACCACGACGGGATTCGCCACCAGCAACTCGTCGTGCTCGAGTCACGATACGAACAGCCAGCAAACCGTGGTAGCAGGGAATCGCACGCAACAGACGCAACAGACGCAACAAACGCAACCTAGTGCAGCCAAACCCGAACCAGCCAACGGTTCGGTATCGTCGCCCCCAGATCGGCGGGTGGTGGAGGAATCCCCCCCGGTCCGGAACCTCGTTAGCCCAGCCAGGAATGCGGGAAACCCCGGGGTGCCCTCGGCTCCACAAAAGCCAAATGTGGCCCGTGCCCTGCCGATCGGTGTCACGAGTGCAAGCACTGCCACAACCGCAGCCACGAGCGGCCTTCCGATTCAACTGGAACAGCAATCGTCCACTATTGGCAGCGCTTCGGTACGTTTTTTTTAAATTTGCTTTGCTTGTTTCTTTTTGGTTTTTGGATTTCTTCCCTAATTCGTTTTTGTCTATCTCTCTGCCTCGCTGTATCGTATTCCTTGCTTACTCTCGATTGGAACCATACGTTTTCTGACCATTGGGAATCAAAATTACCGAATGTACTCGAATCAAATATCACTACAGCAGAAACGAAAATCAGTTCCAAAGCGCAAGATTTCCTCCATCAACGACGCGATCGGGAACAGCCCAATCCCGTCTATTGGCCAAGGTGCAACCACCCGCTCTAGGTCTCCACACAAACAAAGGGCGAACTACCCAACAAACACTTCTAATACAAATACCACTACTGCTTCGAACGCATTCGTCTCGGAGCACTCCCGCGATCGATCCAACAATTCCAACCCGGCGAGTAGCTACAACAAAAAGCCTAGGCTTCTTCTCCCCCCCGCTAACAACAAGCGGATCCACGATTTTTTCTCGTCCAGCAAAAAGAAACAGCCCAGTAGTAATGCTACAGCCTCCCACCAAGCAAGTAACAACAATGCAACTAATAACATTGCCAACGGTAGTGGTGTAATTTCCTTCCCTTCCCAAATCCCCCCACGGACGGTTCCACCAAACTCTGCTGCTGCGGGATCGTCGGCCTTGAATAAAAGTAGCAACACTCCTCGCAACGATGCATCGGCTTCCATCCACTCGGATCCACGGAATACCGCCCTCCCAAACAGGGCAGGCGATGTCGGGAAGCATCCATCATCTGTTTCGACGTCGACCTCCACTTCCGAGAACTTCTCGGCACTGCTTGCCACTGCCAACGCCTCCCGGGAGCAGTGGCGGGCCAGGTGCGCAGGCCTCCAGCAGAAGCTCCAGGACAAGGATCAGCAACTCAAGGCCGTGACAGGAAACAAAACGATACTCCACACGGCTCTTCAGCAAGCTCTGACAAAGACGCGGACCGAGCTGGCCTCGCTGAAGGAATCCAAGGCCGCCTATGACCAAAAGGCACGCTCGGTCCTCGCGGAGGCCCTCCGATGGAAGTTCCAGAAAGAGGCCAAGGAACTCCGGGCTTCCCTGGCCGCGGATGGGAACCGTTTGGGAAGGATCGTGTCGACACGGGCGGGGATGCGCGTCATCGACTCGTGGGAGGAGGGCTGCGCATCCAAGGACTGGCAGCTCGGGAAGGAGAAATGGAAGCAGAAGCGTACGGTTCTGCTAGAAAAACAGGCGACCCTACAGAAGCGGCTGAGGTCTAGGGGTCATCCAAATCACAACGAAAACAACGACACCAATAACAATGGTGATCCAGCGCAAAACAACAAAAACAACGACAATTTCATCGACAATGCACCCATGTCCCAGCTCGACGTCCAGGAGGCCCAAGAATCCATCCAGATGCACCTGGAAGCTCTTCTGCAAGAGGAAAAGGAGCTCCTATCGGAAGAGCAGGCCCTAAACGACGAAAAAGGTGCCCACATCCGGGCCCTCAAACGGGTGGCCAGTGAAGATGCCTCCCGCTTCAAGAACCGTGGCAAGCTCCACGATCGGTACGTCCTGGATTGCTTGCTCGGAAAGGGGGGCTTTTCCGAGGTCTGGAAGGGATACGACCTGCTGGAGCTCCGGGAGGTGGCCGTGAAGATCCATCAGCTGGACCCTAGGTGGCCCGATACAAAGAAAGAGAACTATACCAAGCACGTCTCTAGGGAATACGAGATCCACCGGAACGTTCGGCATCCACGAATCGTCAGCCTGTACGACGTCTTTGAGATCGACAACAACTCTTTCGCGACTGTTCTGGAATACTGCAAGGGAACCGACCTCGACACACTGCTGAAACGGAAAAAGCGCCTCCCGGAGCGGCAGGCTCGGGCAATTCTCTTGCAGATTCTGACGGGGATGCAATACCTCAGCCAGCCGTCCTCCGACGGATCCCGACAGGGGATCATCCATTACGACCTCAAGCCCGGAAACATCCTCTTTGACGAGTTTGGAGACGCCAAGATCACCGATTTCGGCCTCAGCAAGATCGTCGACGCGCCCGATCCGGCCGAATCGATGGAGCTGACCAGCCAGGGCGCGGGGACCTACTGGTATCTCCCCCCCGAGTGCTTTGTGACGGGTGAGCAGGTCCGGATTAGCAACAAGGTCGATGTGTGGTCGATTGGGGTCATATTTTACCAGATGCTCTACGGCCAGCGACCTTTTGGAGAGGGCAAGTCCCAGGATAAGCTCCTGGCCGATCACACGATGCTGAACGCCCAGGAGGTCCACCTTCCGGACAAGCCGTCTATTTCTGATGCAGGAAAGGAATTCGTAAAGCAGTGCCTTACATACGATCAGGCCTTTCGGCCGACGATTGCCCAGCTCTGCGAAACCCCATACGTCCTGCAGAAGGGTGTCTGATCATCGGTGGCAGCTATACACGCCGAAAAACCCATGGAACCGAACGAAGCAGAACAGCACCACGCGATGGCAAAACCACAAACGCGAATGACTTAGACAGCAACAAATGCTGCCTCCAAGTAATGCAAATTAATATTTAGAATAATAAATGAATATACAGTTCGGAATCCGAGTCCCTGGTATCGATGCTGCTTTGATTTCGATATTTCTGCTCGTATCACGCCCCGCTACACAAAGAGACGCGACGTTGCCTGATGCGATGCGATGTGCTTGCTTACCGGAGCTTCGCTATCGGCATTTCAATGCTTTCGAGTCGTACTCTCTTGTGCTACCGCGGAGTTGGAGCATTTAGGGAATCGTTCGGTGTGTCGATTTCGATTGGTTGTGGCCTTCCGCGATGCATGCCTACAAGAAAAAATCCCATTGCAATCGTGCTGAAATAGGTTTACGAGTAGCGGCGAGCGATAGCATCCGAAAAACACGATATCCGTTCGAAAGAAATGGAGGTGCACGGAAACAGCTTTTCGAAAAGTCGTCGTGTCAATCCCCGAACCCGACAGAAAAAGTGTTGTTTCGATGTACTATATCGGTCCAAACACAATCACCAGAACTGCGTGGAGGATGGGGCCAGCTGTGTCACGACGAAAGTCTGAAAAAGGACATCCACTGCAGACACTGCATCGAATCAGGGTAGGCCGATTTGTATGATGCATTGTGTTTTGCTTGCCTGCGAGTGCGTTCCGCATTGCGTGCACGGTGTTGCTCGCATGTGTGGTTGGATGGTTCGTTGCTGGAGTGGACCAGATTCCATGCCATTCCATTCCATTTCGTTCCGTCTTGTTTCGTTTCGTTTCGTTTCGTTCGGTTGCCTTGCTGTTACGGGGAATTGCGCTTGATGGTTCGGACCCCCTTTGCAAAGTCAAAGACGTCCGCCTCTTTTTCGAAGATCGACCGATCGAACCTCGCCGTGCATTCCTGCAGGAGCGGGTGTTTCATGGTTTTGATCATGTTGCGCTTCGAGACCTTGGCGGCCGGAAACCYRTGGACRTTKATGAGGACCGACTTCCAGTACTCCATGTGGGAGGCCCACGTCCCGTAGGGCCGCTCGGGCTTCCACATGTCCCTGGGAACGTCCGATGGGTAGAGGCCGAGGACGGAGCCGTGGTTGGTGGGGTCCTCCCTTGCACCGGTGCTGTTGTTGTTGTTGTTCGTTCTTTCGGTTCTGGCGTGGTCGAACAAGCGGGCAATGCCCACCTCGTGRTGCCTGACGAGGCATTTCTTTTTTTCCCGGGAATCGGCAACGTCCGGGCAAAAGGCCCAATGGGTGGGGGCGTGGCAGGAATGTTTCACAAAGGCCTTTAGTCCGACCGGATCAAAGGCCCGAAAGACGCTCTCTAGCCACATCCCGGCCGGATCCGTGAGGGAATAGCTCAGGGAGACCATATGCTTCGGGGCAGCAGCATCGAATCCGCTGTGGTTCGTGTCGCTGTAGGGGATCTGTGGATCGCGGTTGCGCCCCTTGAGGGCGTCTAGGATCCCCGTAAAGGGTCTCAGGGCGAACAACGAATCGTTCAGCAGGATCACGTCGTCGGTGTAGTAACCGCTGTTGTTGTTGCTGTTGCTGTTGCTGTTGCTGTTGCTGTTGTTGTTGTTGTTGTTGTTCCCCGTTGGTGGTTTCCCAAAGAGGCTCTCCAGCCCGTCGCACCACAACCCAATGTCGTACCGATCGTTTTCGAAAAAGGCCGCCTTTAGCTCGRTCTTCGGGGAGGACCCGGAAAAGTGGGGGAGCTTTTCCCTGGCCTCGCGCAGGATGCGGAGGACCATGGCCTCCGCCCAGAGGGGGGCCGATACCAMRACCYKTTTCAGGTCCCCGTCGCGGGCAAAGCAATCGAGCTCGCTCCACAGCGCCGTCACGTGCCGCTTGTCGAGCGGAGCTACCGCCAGGACCATCGTGGCGTTTCTGTTTCTCTTTCGGGCTGCCCTTCCTGGCGGGGGGASCGGACGACCACCGAAAAGGGAGGGGGAAAAGGCTCTTGTGCTGTTGTTTGTGTTGGKTCCTTCCCGAACRGCAGCCACGGTCACGGTCGCATCGGCTYGGGAGTTTGTSTTTGTGCTTTTGTTCTCGGTCGGTCCCATCCGAAACTCCTCGAGGCGCTCGGCCATTCGGTGGCCCGAACGGTRRSCGGCCGATCCGTTGGAATAGACCGGCAGCACGACATCGAAAAAGGCGCAGACCGAAACAGCGGCAACGACGAAGAGGCAGTAGAATCGGTTGGCGGTGGTATTGTTGTTCTTTTTAATGTTGTTGTTGTTCTTGTTGTTGTTCTTGTTCTTGCCATTGTTGCCGTTGTGAGTACTGGTTTTGGCTGTGCCAAGGGAAGCACGTGCTGGTTGCATTTCGTTGGGCAGCGATGGCCCGCTATTCCTATTCTTGCTCTTGACTTTCATGCAATTGCAACAAACCGAGCGAAGAACATCGGATCGGCAAGAAGCACGGGGAGTGCTCTGGAGATAGAACGCTTACGTAGCGTACCCGCACCTACGAAGTACCATACCGTACGACTACGACTTTGCTAGACGGAGAGCAGCAATGATTCTGGAGGGCTGGAGTCATAAATCAGTCTTCATTCATGCATCATTTTCCCGGTAGTAGTAGGTTCTGTGGTATCAACCCGATGGGCAGGAATCACACTTACAGTTCCCCAACGTATAGGACGTAGGTACGTACTGTAAGTACTGGCTACAGTAACAGTTTTTATGATTTAGTAGTAACTACTAGTAGACCTGTAGAAAACAAGAGTAGTAGCAATAGCAATTCCAATACAGTTCTTTATCATACTTTTTGGTAGTACTACTAGTGTGGTGCAGCATTGGATCACAGACATCATTGTAGTAGTAGTATTCTTGTGGTGGTGGTGCTGGTGTTACTAGTACTAGTATGAGGGAAAAAGATTCCCTGCCCTCCTCGTCCTCTCCACCGGCACCAATACCTACTAGCTACACCATTGTGCAAAGAATGCCTCCTTCTTCTTGGAGATTCTTGTGGTGATGACTCCACTTCCAACAATCATCCTCTCTGTTTGTTACAAGTCCTTTGCATTTTTGACTTCAGCGGCTTCTTCCTTTCTTCTTCTTGTAGTAGAGCATTCTGTGGTCCACCACCAGCATTGTTTGTTCTTGCTGATGTGCTTCATTCTTTTGTTGGCCTCATTGTCATCCTTTGCAGACCATTCTTCTGCCCTGTGATTCATTTTGGCCTTGTCCTTTTCTACTATCTGCGAGACAGCCCTACTACTATTGTTTGGTCTGTCTGCTGTCTTCTTTTTCTCAGCTTCTTCTTTGTGAAATTGCCAAGAACAAGCATGGCAATGTTTTGCAGTAGTACAAGTCTTGTTGGTTGCAGCTTGGGAGAGAAAAGTGTAACAGGGGGGATGTATTACCATTGCTTTGACATGATAGTCCAAGCCTGATTGTTTTATATCTTCCCTCCCCTAGTCACTGATTGTGATATCATCTCAATTTCCATAGGAACACCCAAAGTCTGGCCAACACGTTTTGTATTTCCAAAATGTTTTCTGAGCATTTCTATTTTTGGCTGCCAAAGTGGTGTAGTTGTCGTGGCAAAGGGGGTAATGGCTGAGAGATCATTGTGGCTAGTAGTAAATCCATTTCTGCCATGATTGCTGCCATGGCTACTACTACTGCTGTCATTGCCTGACAAATACAACATGTCTTGGTACTGCTGGAAACAACAACAAAAGAAAGTAAGACAAAGAGCACAATGAAAACTGGAAGAAATTGAAGACAACATACATATTGTTTCCCATTAACTGCTGACACTCTTTTGCTGTTGACATAGAAGAATATTGAAGAAAGAAATCAGAGTTGCAGATATGAAAATTGTAAAATGCATTTCATGTTGGCACCACCCTGATAGGCAAAGCATTGATAGGCACTGTCTTTGATCATGTGTTGCACTAATTTTTAAAATCATTGCTGTTTTACTACCAGGCCTCCCCTACTACTTCTACTTTTGGTTGCACTTCCTAGGTTCTTTTTGTAATTGGAAATTTTTTAGTTCATATTCACACACACCAGCTCTGGAATGGGAATCCCTTTTTGTATGAATCAGAAGGAGTTTCACTTTTTTACARTCCCTTTTGTATGAATCAGGAGGGGGAATCCCTTTTCATACAAATGAGGGGAGGGATCTCCTTTGCTCATTTTGTAAAAAGAGAAAGGGATAAATAAAATTGAGATACAAAGCACAGTAGTACTAGTAGCGAGAAGCAAGCAACAAGCAACAAGCAACAATTCAAAAAAGAATGATTTTTCTAATAATTAAGCATCATAGAAGAGGTCACTACAACCCTGCTACTAACCAGTGTATTAATCATTTTCATCCCCATTTTCTCCCTGTCCCTGTTGTTCATTAAACATTTGAATACTAGCTGAAAGAGCTGGAAAATTGAATTTGTAACTGAACTAGGTACATTCTCTAATTGACTACTATTGCAGATGCATCTGGTCCAAGAACAATATCAATCCCAGCTTGTCTTCTTGCTCTTGTAGATCTTCCCCAATCTAAGAAGGCAAGACAAAAAACTTTTGAGCCCCCATCACCTCATCCGATTCCAAATATCTTGTGAAAATGTTTTGAGGCAAATGCTATCTTCTTTTCCAAGCAACTRTAACAGATTTTATTGGCATCTCTGACAATCCTGTCCTTAGATAGTATCTCTACTACTAGATGCAGCACTACTACAGTGGTTGTATTAAGAGCAAAGAAATCTATCTCTTTTTACTGTATTCTTTGAGACCCATCTGTTCATCAACTTTAGCTTTCACCCAAGAAATTTCTTCTTCTTCTCTCATATGGTGGTTGCTCAAAGCATGAATTAACAGTGCAGCAAAAATATTTGCATTACTAGTAAACTCTTTGAAGAACAGACTTGAAGAAACACTCTTCAGGAATGCCTTCAGGTGTCCCACAAAGATTGGATTGAAATGACACTAAAACGTKGGAAGGCCCTCCGTATTCATGTATGAAACAAATCCTTTACTAGTGATAGAAGGAACAACAAAAATGGCTCTGCTTTGTCTTGATGCAGAGTTTTGCTTGATCTGGGAATGTGCACTGACATTGTCTGATCAAGTCTGACAACCTAGTACACAGGTGTGCATACAAMGAAGACATTGAGATCCACTTTGATGGACCGCCATTGCCTCTGTCTTTGTCATTCATGAGTGCCAGCTTTCAGGACTCGGAGATGCGGCTGCTATGCCCTCACTTTCTTTGGCAAGAGATCTTACAGACAGTATTCACCTGGATGAGCAGGACGACATTTATATATTTGCAATTTATTTTTCAAATGATTTACAAACCTGGTTGGACTTGGATTTTACTTCTGGAACATTGTTCGGCAACTCGATTGATTGGTGTTGTCGTCCTCCAATGGGGATCCGGATGCTGTTCGGCCTCATTGCTCCTGGTCRGCTAGGGACGAGATTTATGGCACCAGCCCAAGGACAAACAGATGTGTCAACACAACGGGCTGCCACTTGTAACATYGGCTTTTTCTACAAAAGGATAAAACCAACACTTCGAGTGGGCCAAAGAGCTTTGGTAAGAGGAAAGACTGTCAACATGGAAGAGCGTGGAAGTACTTGCGTGTCTACTACTACTACTAGTGCCGACAGCTCTGTTGCAACTAGACCCAAAAAAATCTCCTATGGACATGCTATGGTGAAGGCGATTGGTGGAAAGAAGAAGAAAGTGCAGATATTGTTTATTGGGAAGCTAGAGTATCCTGGAGCTCACGGGATCGGGGGTGTGTGGTGTGTGCTCTCTCCAAATTCGAGTCGATTCCCGGAAAAAAAGCACCATAGTGCCAAGCCCTGCTCGTTTCCTGCTCTGGCTGCTACTCGTCCCGGGCCATCTCCCCCAAGCCCCCCCGGTGGCACAACGGGGACGGCCCTCGGGGCCTTCGTTCTCCTCGCTTTTCGTCACTCCGGACCCGGGCTTCCCCCCGCCCGGCCAGAGGGGTGCAGGCCCGGGGCTTTGGATTCGGCCCCCCGTAGGCCGAGCAGACGTAGTCCAGGAGGCTGTCGCCGATCYKGTCCTGGAGGTCGTCGCTGTGGACCCCGTCGGCAACGATCCACGGAACGTACGTGTGGGGGGGATCCAGGGCGGCCGTGCGCTCTGCGAGCGAGTGGACCAGGGCGTTGCCCTCGGCGCCCAAATAGCAGGCGCGGATGGCCTCTYCGGTGGCCCCTTCCAGCCCYGCGCTCAAGGCGCACTTTGTGGCGACGGCGTCGTAGTCCTGGTCGGGCTCCCGGTTCTCGTCCGAMRTCTCGACGCAGTAGAGGAAGGAAAAGGCTTTCGTGGGGGATTCGATCTTGTCCAGGGCGCAGGCCTCCATKGCGTTGTAGGTGCACTCGGAGGGCCCGTGCTGGCACTCGAAGTGGAAGGTCCCGCTCGGTTCGTCGGGGCCGGACTCGACGGCGTTTCCGTAGGGGACGAGGACGACCTCGGCCATGTCCAGAAAGCCCTCCGTCGAGAAGGCCTCGAAAAAGGAGCCCGTCARGACCTCTCGGCAGCCGGGGCACTGGGATTCGTAGTAGAGCTCGACGACGACCTTTCCGTCCCCGTTTTTTCCGGTGGGTTTCCGGAGGCTTCCCCGGTTCCTCCCAWCGACTAGGGTGGCGCGGACGAGAACCCCCGATAGGAGGACGACCAACGCGGTGCACAAGAGAAGGCTCTGCATCGCAGGTCCACAGSAATGTTTTGGAATCATCGTTGTTGGTGGGTTGGTTTGTTGATTTGCTTTGTTTTGTTTTATTTTGTTTTCGCAGGGAGTATTGGTCTTTGCGGGTTTGTCTCGTTTCGCTGTTGTCGGCGTTGTCCCGAGTTGTTTGCGTTGCGGACAGAAGAGAATGTGCTTGTTGACTTCTTCAATTTTTACCGAATCGAATTCTCAGTTGTCAAAACATACCGAATGTTCGGGAGACCAACAAACTCCCCCTCGCGCGGGCAGTGCTTTGGCGCGCGCTTGACAGAATATGACAACGATAAGAAGAAATAATGAGATGCACGACTCTGTCTGAGTACGAGTACGTACTTCGTACCATACTGTACCATACCGTATGAAAAGCAGGGACGCGACGGACAGCGCATAGCTGCAGCCCTGCAAGGCGGGCAGACAGCAGCATCACTTCTGGTACGCATCGTACGATAGGGTAATGTACTGTACTGGGGTACACAACTCTAACTACTGCCGCAACGCATGGTAGTATGGCACGTATTTCCAACCGATGACACGTGACTCGAGAAAGACGAAAACGAAGAACGCGTCAAGAAATTTCGAGAGAGTTCCGATCTATTATGCCCGTCCGTCGAATGGGAACCTTCGAATGGGAAAGGAAAGCTGCCATTCTATACTCGTTCATAATGTAGGTGCGAAGTTTACGCGTACGAACGATACTTACCAAGGCCAAACATAACAATGGCTWGCGGTAGGTAAACTCTACGAGACTATGAAATGGAAAGTGATACTTCGTGCTTGCTGTTGCAGGCATGCAACAATAAGTACGGCTTCGTATGAACGTACGTACTATGTACCCGTAGGAAAATGTTTCGAAACAAGAGATGGTAGATTCCATTCGCTTTCTGTGTGCTATCTACCGCACGTATGGTACGTACCGTACCGTACTATCTTCCGTAGTTTTTGGGTTCCGAGTCTGCGTTGTTGTTTGTTGCAGCGACGGACGCATCGACGATCGATTCGTATCTTCGTGGTTTACGTTCTTTCGCTGAAGTTCATTCCGAGTTGAGTTGAGTTGAGTTGAGTTGAGTTGAGTTGAGTCGGGTTGGCGCATTGAATTGCAACTCCGAATCATACTACTGTACAATACACCGAATCAGACCGCAACCAAGAAGAACAAGAACAAGAACAAGAACAAGAACAAAACCCACGACTTGATTTCGTGCGTCGTGGATTGGATTGGATTGGATTGGATTGGATTGGATTGAATCGAATCGAACTGAATCGAATCGAACAGTCTCGACACGCCGTTGCTGTAGCCAGAACGAAACCGACACCCCCGAACACGAACACGAACACGAACACGAA